GTGGCCCCGATCACCTTCTCAGAGTGTACTTGGGATCCTCTGGGATAACTTATACTTTGTTTTGAGCCCCTTCCGCACATAGACACAGGAACTTTATCATAGCAGACGGTATACCCCTTGCCCGAGTCATTCACCAACACAGCATTCCATGATGAGCACATGATATTGATTTCTGTAGTCAGACCTCGGGCTTTGCCACACCTTGGATACCACTCGCAAGCTCCGCAACAGATTCCACACTCCACCATCCAAGCGCAAGCACCACCAGCACTCGCAGGCCTCAGCTGCCGCCCTTCGGTGCGCGCACACGACGCCAAGCGCGACCTCGCGTTGGTTGTGGCCAGCGACGGACTGTGGGACTTTGTGGAGGAGAAGGCGCGGCCGCACCGCACGCGACAGCAGGTGTGACCGGTGTGGAGTGGAGCCTCCGGCGTGTAGCCAATTTCCAGGAGCATCCGGTGGAGTGTGTTTGTTTGGAACATATACATGCAGTTGGACCAGTAAAGGAATGGTTGACCTGGTTTTGCAGCTAGTCAATCATCCTTAGTACAACATGTGGTTAAGACTCTTAAACAATGTATAGTGGTTGTTGGAATTCCAGAATGATGTATGGTGCAAATAGATGGGTGTCTTCGTGGTTCGTGCCGCTTGACCTCGTTTGTCGCCGCGTGCGGCTCGTGGGCTCGTTCGTGCGGACTGGTCCTCGTTCTTTGCTTTGCTTTCGTGGCAACTTGAAGATACAACCAGGGGCCTCACAAACCATCAAACACCTGGTTTTCCTTAGCAAAAACTGTTTTTTGTATGTGAAAACCTTTTATGTTTCAGCTGGAGGCAATGGCTGGGTGCCAATGGAGGCGTTGCCATTTTGCGACCAGTCGCCTTTTACATGCTGTTGGATCTTTGGATGTCACACTCCGACTGTGTAGCGGAACATCATTTTCCCAAATGCCGTGGGTGTATTGGCTGGAACATTGGGATATCGGATATCTCCCCACCCAAACACTTTTTTTAATGGCTCGTATTGACCCAAGCGCCAGCAAACTTGTTGGTCGCTTGTTTAGGTGTCTTGAACACCTGCCGCACACGCCAGCCCACCGGATGAAGCTTCTGGTGTTAAGTGTCCTTCGGCACCAAAAAAGGCGCCAATGTCCCACGCCAGGATGTAGGCAAAGTCGTCACAGAAAGTAGCTCCTTGGAGTCATAGGGTGTGGGTCGGCTGGAACAGCTTCACAGCTTCACAAACAGCTAGGGGTCTTTTGTGAGGTCCTTAAGGCAAGATCCGAACGTCGTCCAGTCTTTCGTTTTGTGATGGTTTTGGGGTGGAGAGCGGTTGATTTGAACACCTTAAGCCAGATTTGAACATGATACCTTCACCTCCCCGCTTATAGAGACTGGCCAGACACTATTCGTGCCTATAACAGTGAGTATTATTAGTATTGAGGGCTTGAGAGAGCTGCTATCCCGACTTGTGTGAAGAGCCTGTCGACAGGTTTGGTTCACACTTGACTTTCAGAGCCGAGCTGTCAGACAATAGCAGCACAAGCTGTTTGGGCAGTTGGGTTAAATACTGACCGAGAAACTGCTGCCAGTGGGCAGCCGTAGGTTTGTTTGTTTCGTTGCCAGGATCCGATTCCATTCGTCCCAACGTCCCAAAACGCCGTGGCTTCAGGGTCCAAAAACACCTCTTGAACATTGTCATAGCTAGACGCACCTGGGGCAAGAAATCTGCCGAAAGGATCTTCCAGGTACCACGTCTTTCGTGGTCGGAACATCCGAGTCTTCGCGTGCCATGCCGTAACAGCGAGGATTTGTACGTTTCGTGTCGACCTTCCAAACAACCAAACCGGTCGACCGTTCGGCCCAAAGACTTCTGTTTCAAACAGGTGGTGAACTCTTTCCACGTAAACCATAATGATTTGCAGGAATTGAGTCGCAAAAATCACGATATCTCGTTACTGAATCCAGGTATCAAGGAATCACACTTCCACAGAAAGCATCTCGCCGTCCTTCGGCGCAGCGCCGCGATGAAATCGAGGTCGGAATGGACTCGAGCACGTGGCTCACAGGCGGGATAAGACAGCTGCGGCGGCTGGAGAGTGCAGGAGTTGGGAGGTATGGTGGTGCGCTGGGACAGCCAAGTGGAGAGTGCAGGAGTTATCAACGTGTTTTGCCCATCAGGTGAAGATAGCTGAAGTTCAGTGTTTGCACTGACCAAGACTTGTTCGGTGCACTTGGGAGATCATTCCCTCCGTGGTTCCACCAAGTCGACTCAAATGGCTTGAACCGGCCGATACCCACGGGCATTGGCCGAGTGGTGCGCGCTTGGACTGGCCTTTCCGAAGTCGCCCATGGTCGACACCCACATCCGATCTAGCAGCCCAGTATGGCCCAGTGCCAGTTTGTCGCCCTTGGTATGATTGGTCGGTTGGCTTGGCATAGCAACATGTACCAAAACATGTAGCAACCATCCAACATGTTGGCTTATTTTCTCTATGGGTTCCTTTTGCCACCATTGACATGAGAGCGTTGGTTGGAAGCTCCCCCATGCCGTCGAACGATACTACACCTTCATGGCTTTAACAAACACGAGCAGAGCAGAGTAAAGTTAACTTAACTGTTAACTCTGACATTCTTAATACCCAGGCTCACACAGAGGGGTCGGACCCGAATCCTCTGGAGGGTTCTTTGGAGTGTCTGGGTATGTCTTAAAGTGCATGGACTGAGTGTTTCAGCTCCAACGAGTGCTTTGCAGCCAGGTCATCCAAACAACCCTGTTAAGGTCAAAAGCTTTGACAGGAATCAAGCAAGAATAGGCCCCTTCGGCTCACCGGGCTTGCTGGCGCTTCGAACCTGGCTGCGCAGGCTGGTGCAGGAGGCTCAACGCAGTGGTCGCTGGGCGAAGTCGGTGAGCGCGAATGGAGGTTTTGGTGAGATGGGGGGGGTTGTACCTTTGAGACTAGTAGATCCCTCAGGCGGGTGGCAGATTGAGAATCACTGGCCCCAAGAACTGGGTATGCATGAGGAAGACTGGATATTGGCTTATTTTGGCTTGGAGAGCCCGGCCTTGACCTTGATACCTTGATTCAAGGCATACGCTTGGCCGTACAGCAGAAGAAGCTGTCTATGGGGCATTGGGGCAAGGGATTGTCGCAAGCTTGTTGGCGCAGATGAGGTCTCCATCGAGTTTTGTGGGAAGCGACAAGAATGATGTGAGTTATTTTTTGGACGTGGCTCATTGTCTTCATACTTCATAGAATCTTCACTAGTCTTTCTTTTTCATCGGTTCAAGCAGGTTGAAACCATTGAAACATTTGTTTGAGTTTCACAAGACTCGAACCAAGGTTCCATGGACAACATTTCCTGCCTTGCAATCTTCCTCTAGGCTGGAGCCGATTTGGTTTGCACGCGGGCAAGCGGCCAGGATCTGACTACATCCAGACACATCTAAAATGCCCCAAATGAAGTGAATCCGGTTCGTTGGAGTTGTCATGCGTAGATACCTGGAGTTGTCATGCGTAGATACCAAGAATTGGTTGCGGTGTCCCATATACTAGGAGAAAAAAAACGTAGCAGCCGCCCTCTGGAAGCCCCAATGCAAGCGTCATAGACAACACTACTGAAGCTCCATAATCTTTTCACAATGTTTATACATATTTTCAGATCCATATTACTTTCGGAATCTGTTCATCAATTCGTATGAATCACATGTGAGGGAAATCACCGTCTGCAGCTTCTCCATTGACTCCAGACGTCCGACGTCCGCAGCCGTCTGACCAGCTGCTCCTCCGTTCACCCTCCCAGCATCGATCCCCCCGAGTTCTCGGGTGATCCGGGTGGATCGGTCGACCAGCCGCGAAGCGCCAAACGAGAACTACCACTCCCACGAGCCTTATCGCTATGTTTTCAAGCAATCCGATACGACCACTCCGCTAGTGGCCCAGTGGGGTGATGTTTCACCGATTTCGAGTGTAGATCCACCCCTAAATCAGACGTGACTGGGACTGGGAGTGATTGGGGTGATCGTTGAGCATGGTGCGGCTGGGTGTTTGGTGAGTCTCAGTGGTTCTGAATGCACTGAACTCAACAAGGAAGTCAGATTTCCTTTATGTCATATTCACAGTAAGTAGATCTAGTTTCGAGGTATTTGGGTCTGAAACTTACAGTATCCAAAGTTTGGAGACCATCTATTTTGGGACCACTACACGACTTCAATCTGAGTTCTTCGCGGATCAAAACCTCTGTGATGCGAAGAAAGCAAAGTGATTTAAACTTCAGCTTCCAGGCTCCCAAGACTCAACCAGATAGGTGCAAGCACCGGGCGTACCGAGCTGCTCATTTAACATATACCTGCACATATCCGATATGTTTTCAGAATGGTTGTTAGGTGCAACTCAGATTCACAAGACTGAAATGAGCTGGTTTTATGCTGTTTTCTCCCCGAACTGGGTCAATCCCGTTTGGGGCAAGATGTTTTAAAGTCGTCTCCCGGAGGAACGGGGAACCGCAAATCCAAGCACGGCACCAGGTGAGGGTTTCCAGTCAGCAGTGAGCAAATTCTGCAGTGCTTCCGGGGGTTGAAGGAAGGCATGGTCATGACCACTTGTGTGTGGCGAAATCAAAGGCGGTGTTTGGGTTGCTTGGTTTTTCGATATCATGGGCTCATCTCCTGAAGTTCCAAGCCGGTTCTTGGTACATCCTTTGACTCACTGCTGCGCCCCTGAATAACTATATCCTTGTCACTCTACTTGTTGGTGTCTTGCCTTTCTTCTTCGCTGGGACACCAACAGGCGGCCCACTGCCACACTTTGAAGTTTTAAAATCACCGGTGAGCCTGGCTCAGGGTTCAGCGAGAGGAGAGCGATAGCAGGGTCATGTCTGTCAGTGGTAGTAGTCTAGTATGCAGCTTGTAGCAGATGGTGTGTGGTGTGCTGCTGCTGGTGTCTTTCTTGCTGGTGTACCATGCGGTTGTTCGTTTGATGAACAGGTTTGAGAAGGCTGACTGCCATATTCGGTGTCAAACCATAAGTTTCCTGCAGCATGTTTCCATCAGTGTTGCCCAGATCACCGCTCCGTTCACTGCATGATTCGATGCTCCGGGACCCAAACAGCCCGCCCGGAAAGCGGGTCAATCCAAACCTTTTTCGTTGGGTCTCTCCCAACTTACCTGTAAGAATCAAGCCATCAAGGCCTTTACTAGCCATCATCCACTGTCTCCCCTCCAGATAGACTCGGATAGACCCAACCTGTAAGGGATTGGTTGGACCCCAGACCCCTGACTCGAGGGTTCGGGGCACATTTTTCTCGGGTTGCTTTAAGAAGGTCAGGCCAGATGCCTACCCAAGGCTCAAGCACAGGCAATGACCACATCCTTTTCACCGCGAAATGGAGAATCTTTTGGCTCCGGCCCC